CAATCATGTGGAAGCTTCCCCATTTCTCAGCAGGCTGCTTCCCCAGTAACCCCAGAAGGATGTCAACTACTAAAATAAAAACACCAGTCATGCTAGGTTATTCTAAATGGGAGTTGATAATCAAACTTGTGGAATTCAGCAGCATCTCGGTCCCTTAAACCTACTCCGTGTCAGCCTTTTCCCAATAACCGAAAGATACTACTCAACTTTCACCTAACACCCGGAACTACTGTATTAACATAAAATGTCCGGCCCTGTGCCATCTAAAGCTATGCCCAACAGCAAGGGTACCAAAGTAATAAACGCAAACATTTCACATGTACTAGACTGGTCTCTTACCTCAGTGGGCACACACTTCATCTAATAAAGTTTTCAAAGTTAGGAACAGAGGCATGTCTCAAACCACAACAGTAGGGCTCCAACCTACTTCCTCCAGCTCCACAGTGTCTTCAGAGGAAACCAGATTCGTTCCCAGCAAACCGCCACCACAGGCAGGATGCAGTTTCCCCTCCTGAGGGTCCTCATCTCCCAAGCTCCCGGCGCAACCGAAGTAATGGGAAGCTGCACGGTCCACCAACTCTGTGGCCCTCCAGTGCTTCTCGGCGCCAACAAGCTGCCTCAACCACTAACGGGAGGTACTGGCGCCGCCGAAAGATTCGGAGCTGCCACCCCTCCGGAACGGTCCAAAGCTCCCTGTTCCCAAGGGCTGCGGCCTGCGCCCCAGAGGCCGGGCTCTCCCGGAGGCAAAGCATGGGATAGCCGGGCATGACTCTCCCCTATGCCTGCCCAGACCCAAGGAAGGCTAGCATCTCCGGCCCAGGAGGCCTCCGACATCCTCGCAGGACACGGAGCGCGACTCCCACACCACAGGATGGCACCGATAACCGAGGGATGATGTTGGATAGCTGAGAGAGAGATACTCACCGGCACGGAAAGATGGCGGAAAGAGGACGGGAGGGGCGAGCGCACGGAATTATGGGTTACGGGTCGGGCTATCGCGAGACTTTTAAAGCCCCGCCAAAAACAAATAAAAAAGGGTTGCCTACTGGAAGAGGCGGGTGAAGGGGCGGAGCCTTCTTCGGGGTAGGTAGTAGAGAGTCGATCATCCATTTCGATGGAATCGAACATCCCCGGCGCGGCATGGGGGCAGTCACCTGGCAAGAGGTGCGGCATTTGCGTAGTTTTCAACTCCTTTCTAGCAGCTAATTGGTAAAAACGAAAAACTGACGAGAGCCTAGATATTTACTAATTTTTATTGCAGTAACTGTTGACTATTTAGAATGAATTTCGATACGTGCGTATTTACACTATCTCTGCAAGGGATAATGGGCGGCAATTTTCTTTGGGAAGGGCGTTAGAAAGTGGGATGGGAGTCATGCTTTTCTCCCCATTTTTGTTGTTTAGTCGCTAAGTCGTATCCGACTGTTTGTGACCCTATGGACTGTAGCCGGTAAGGCTCCTGTGTTCAAGGGATTTCCCAGGCAAAGATGGGTAAGTTGCCATTTCCTTCTCCAGGGGATCGTCCCCATCCAGGAATCGAACACGGGTTTCCTGCGTTGGCGAATTCTTTACCACTGAGCGACCAGGGTAGAGCTTTCTCGTTATACAATTTCTTTTTGTCTTTTGAAATTTGTTTATACTTTTTCAAAACAGTAAAAAATATTTTTCTTAATTGATGCTTCCTTTTTGACGCTCCCTAAATATTAGAAATTATTTACTGGAGTTCCAGACTTTTCTTTCAAGTTTTGAAAGACACAGTTGCAAAGAAAGCCACAAATGTTTCGAAATAAAATTTCGGCCTCTTAAAGGTTGTTGCAAGGGTCAGATGAGATAATGGTGACAAAGGGCTCGCAAAATGCCTGGCACGCGCTAAATAAATGCTCAGTAGTTACCGCTTCGGGCTCGAGGTCCGGCTGCCTGGGAGTCAGTGGATTCTGGCGCCGCCCTCTCTGGAGCAGAGTGACCTCAGGCTAAGCTTCTGCTCAGGACTTCGCTTCCTCACCGCTTTCACCCTTACCCTCCCTTCTTCAGTCAGTAAGTTCAGTCGCTCAGTCGTGTCCGACTCTTTGCGACCCCATGAATCGCAGCATGCCAGGCCTCCCTATCCATCACAAACTCCCGGAGTTTACTCAAACTCATGCCCATCGAGTCGGTGATGCCATCCAGCCATCTCATCCTCTGTCGTCCCCTTCTCCTCCTGCCCCCAATCCCTCCCAGCATCAGGGTCTTTTCCAGTGAGTCAGCTCTTCGCATGAGGTGGCCAAAGTATTGGAGTTTCAGCTTCAGCATCAGTCCTTCCAATGAATACCCAGAACTTATCTCCTTCAGGAGGGACTGGTTGGATCTCCTGGCAGTCCAAGGGACCCTCCCTTCTTACCCTTCCCTTATTTTCCACCCCTTTCCCTGTTTCCCCCGTGGCTGCCAGAATGATCATTTTAAAACTTGTCTGACCTTGGACTCTCCAAGGATTTCTGTCAGCCTCAGTAAAATCCAGATTCCTTACAAAAACTTACAAGGTCCTCCTTGTAACATCTGCCTCCTTGCAAAGGAACACCATCCTCCAGCCTTCTCCCTGGCTGGCTTTTCTTCACATATTCCAAGCACACTCTGCCTCAGGGCCTTTGCATTTGCTTTTCCCTTTAAATTGACTTTTCCTCCCCCAGTTTGTCAGGTCTCTGTTCAGTCACACATCCTCCTCCTCATCCTCCCCGCCCCCCAATTTCATTGCCCTGTTTAACTTTTCTCCATATGTTTTACCGCCTGAGATATTGGAAGTGTCTGTCTCCATTAAGCAAGCAGGGATATGGTTGGCTTTGTTCACCACTGTACCCACAGCTTCTAGGTAAGTTAACTCCACATAGTAGGTCCCTGATTCATATGTGATGAATAAATGGGCAAATCAGTTTCTCCGTCTGTAAAAGGGAATGATATACTAATTACTTGCAGTTGCTGTGAAGATAAATGAAATAATCCAGATGAAAGACCAGCATTTGTTATTAGCATCACAGCCCACCTCACCCACCATCACCACTTCTCAAATCCTAAGTGAAACTTGAGTGCCAAGCTCCCAACGTAGGCATTGGCTTTTCTAAGAAACATTTCCTGTAAGAACTAGTTGCCTGAATACAACATGTTGACTAAAACCGGTTGTCAACTTGAGGGACTTAGCAACACTGGGGAGTTAATAAACCCACTTTCCTTCAAGAGCCTCCATTAATAGAAAACTAGTGCCACTCACCCTGTTTTTGTACACTTCATTCACTCTTTCGTCCCTTCATTCAGCAAACATCTTATGAGCGCCTATCATGTGCCAGTTGTAGCAGGTGACAGGACAATCAGTTCCGGGCCTTAAGAGGTGCAGATCCTAGCAGAGACAAATCTCTACATAACAATACCAGGCAGTGTGCTGTTTCCATGCCAATATGAATGTAGGAATGGAGAGGTGGCCTGAAAAGTTGCTAAAGCTTTGCCAGGAGGAAGTGCCATTTGATCTGTGTCTGAAGGCTTCTAACAGCTACTGATTCCTAACTGCCACTAAGTGCTTCCTGTAGATTAACTCAAAACACAAGGAGTTACATAATGCCCCTTTGAGATCTGTATTACCTCCACCTCACAAATGAGGAAGCAAACTAAATTCAGTCTTAAATCAACTCAGTCTTAAAATATTGCTGTTGGTTAAAAAGTCAAAGAAAGTGGTCATGTATAAATTACTTGTGGGGTTTTATTTCCCAAACTGGCCTATGGATTTTTTTTCTTTTGCCTATGGATTTTTGAATGGCTCTAAGAGTTAGGGGCTTCCCTCAGCTCAGTTGGTAAAGAATCCGCCTGTGATGCAGGAGACCCCAGTTCAATTCCTGGGCTGGGAAGATCCCCTGGAGAAGGGAACGGCTGCCCACTCCAGTATTCTGGAGAAGTCCATGGGATCACAAAGAGTCGGACGCAACTGAGTGACTTTCACTTTCACTTTGAAGAGCTAGGAGGGCATATAAGGCATATAAACGAAATCTTGGAATGGTTGGGACTGGGGGAAGGGAGAGGAGTGGAATGGAGCAGAAGCCTGTGTATAAATCCCCTCTTGACATCCTGTGAATTCTGGAATAACTCTGCTAGAGGTGGTGCAAAGAAACTTGAAAGGGGACTTCTGCTGTGGCCAGAACTGGCGTAGCATCCAAGCTGGCCTGCAGCGTCATCATAGCTGCTCATGGCTGCATTCCAGAGCACTGGGTGACGAAGAGACCTATGGTGACAGGGTAGAAACTTCCCTTTTCTGGACATCAAGCCTCCAGGAGGCTTCAAGGAAGGATCCGTACATTTGGCAGGTAGGGAAAGCAAGAGGTTTGACATTGACTCTGTTCCTAGGACCCACAAAGAATAGTGAGACCCAATGATAAAATACCCAATTTGGGCTCTATTTTAAAAAAATTCTAAGTGCAAACAAAAGTCACCCACTGATTACTGAGCACGTCAGGTACCATATTCTCAGCTAGATCCTAGGGTAGATGTGCATGGGAGGCCCTCTCTCCAGCATCCTTCTGCTGCCTGACCTCCTAGCCACACCCTCACATACCACCCTTTGGCCATCATTTATTCATTTATCTCCTTTTCCATCTAGGGTGGTGCCTGGATGTTTACTGAATGAACTTAAACCTTTTAGTTCATTCTGTTCTTAAAGAGCACCTTGTGCCATATGCTCAGTTGCTAAATCATCTCCAACTCTTTGGGACCCCATGGACTGTAGCCCACCAGGCTCCTCTGTCCATGGGGCTTCCCAGGCAAGAATGGGTCACCATTTCCTCCTCCAAGGGATCTTTCCAACCCAGGGATCGCTTCTCCAGCATCTTCTGCATTTGCAGGCAGATTCTTTACCACTGTGCCTCCTGGGAAATCTAAAGAGCCCCTTACAGCAGTGGAATGATCACCCAGGGTAGTTCATTAGCTGGGTATGTAAATCCAATCATGGAAACACTGTATTGGTTAAGTTATAAAGAAAGGACACAGGGAAGGATTCCAGCTTTTTCATTTATTCCCCTTTTAACAAAGTAGAAGAAATAATACAGGATTAAAACTGCAAAAGTAGTTAATTGGTAGAACACACACAAAAAAAATCTGGATAGGAAGACAAGCTTATATACAATGAGGAAACACATGTAAATTATGGTAGTTTGTAGACGAAACATTTTTTTAAAAAAGTCAAACATGCTACACAGTGCCACTGTTTACAGCAATATTGAAGGGGAGAAAATAACACTAATTTAGGGACTGATATACCACAAGGTCCAGGTTTCACAGCATCAGTGCAATAAATTCACAAAACTATATTACAGCTAGTTTATCAGTTTAAGAATTGTTCCCAAATATGTCACATTTCCAGCCCTCAGAGGTCCATTCCTACAGATTTCAACTACTCCATCTATGGGGACCAAAAGCAGCCAGTGTTACCATAAAAGGAGACTCTTGAGACTTATCTTTAAAGGCTTATTCTGGTCTTGAAAAATTAGTAGGATAAGGCTATTTTCTACTGAAGTGAATCTTGACTCAACACAGGAAGACTTTTGTCCTTTATTGGCTGGTCTTGGAGTGAAGGTCATAGACATGACTCTTAACCTATTATGGACTTTAGCTCCAATTAACTGAAAATCTGAAATTTAAAAGTCCTAAATACCAACTTGTGTAAGCCTGCTACTAAAAAGCCTTTGAGGATGTACTAACTTCAAGTTTAAGTGCTCAGGAACTAAAGTTCTGAACGTTCCTGTCAGATTCCCCATTTGGGAGGAAGGATCAATGTTTCCCACAAACAGCTAAATTCTGCACAAGGGAGAAAACACATGCTAAGACATGGAATGAGTTTCATCTTATTCCATGAGGCTTCTCCCACACTATCGAAACAGAATGAGGAATGACTCTTCATTGGTCTCTTCATCAGAAGTGGTAAACTTGGTCTCTATATTCATGAAGCCAGTTTTTTAAGCAGACCATGGAAGCAGATGATAGAACGAGCTTCTTGAAACCACAGGCCACTATCCTCTATCCCGCTTAAAAAAAAGATCAACTTGAACAGTTATCCCAAGTCACTGTTAACTGTACTAAAGGCTGAAGTTCACCACTACGTTATTTTAAAAGTAAGAGTTCAGTTAACCCTGGGTGACAAAAAACCAAGATGAGGAACTGAAGAGTTGTCCATATAAGGCCAGCTGATAAGAACACACCCATGAAGACACTGGGCATAAAGCCTTACTTGACAAGTCAGAATTTCTACTAAGGGCAGAGCAAGGGACAGCAGAGAGCTACTTCTGTAACATTTTAGTATCCCAACAGCATAACAGACACTGTTCCCACGGACAATGTACACTCCATTAATCACACTGAATAAAGCGAATGCTTTATTCATTTTTCTTTTCTTTTTGTTTCAGAAGCTTGTTTATCTCTCTTTTGGCCATTCCAATGTATTTCGAAATGATTCCATGTTGGTTCAGTCCAGGAAGCAAAAGTAAGAAAGTCACTTTAAAAAAAGAAAAAAAGTTACAGAGGCAGCAATTAACTTTCTAAAGACTACTACATTTTACAGAAGCGAATTCCTCAGACTAGGACACACTCTAATGGGAAGAAGCAACATGATATCCATTATTCCCCCGTTGGTATTTATCCCCAGAAGCTTCTGGTCTCATACCTCCCAATCTCAGGTAACACACACTGCCTATTTTTACCTCATGCACAATACTGTCTGCCTTGGTTATCAGTTCTGTGTCTGTCTTCTGCTAAGACCACAAACTCATTGAAAACAAGGACCCAGCTTTTAGTCATCTTTTTATGCTCACACAGTTCCTTAATCACTACCTAGAACTCAGTAAGCAGGAACATACTGTTTACTGAATTCCAGTTAAACTGGCCAGGATGTGCAGAGTACTTCCCCAGTGACTTACCTATCAGGTAGGTGAGAAGGAGGTTGTGGACCTGCTGTCCAACCCAAGCAACCGCAGCAAGAGAAACGATCATGGTCATGAAGTACTAATAATGAAAATAACAAGAATTTATCAACTCCTCGGAACAGAGTAAGAACTGAAACTCTAGGAGGTTGTTTCTAAGGTTAGAAGATAACTCGGTTTTTATTCTCACTTTTCTTTAAAAATATTTAGCATCTCTATATTATATAAAACCTACAGAAAACTCCCTAGGTTTATTTTACAAAATCTAGATACATTCTCTCCTACAATAACTGTGATTCTATATGTAAATTAAGTAGTTTATAATATAAATTATACTACTTTCACAATTGATAACTTCATATAGTAACCTCAAGTAAAGCTAAAAGAGAAGTATGTATCTTTTATATTTATTTCAGTAAGTAAAAACCAGAAAAAATTCACTCTATAATGAAAAATGCAAAATGTAATTTTAACTCTCAGTATAATTGATAAATAAATATTTATGAATGTACTCAGAGGAGTTAAACCAACACATAATGATAAACATACAACTACAACTAGAGTAAAAAAGAAAGGCTTTAGACTATGATGTAAAATCTGACACAATCTTAAAATGTTGCTCTACTTAATAAGTCAAAACCAAAAAAGTACCATTTTAGGCTTTTCTTCCTTTAGTGTAAAGAGGCGTTTCCACCAGCCCACAGCTCTGCGTCGAGTTTTTACTAGATTGCTGCAAATTTCATGGAATCTTTGTTGTTGCTCAGTGGTCCNTCCAGGAAGCAAAAGTAAGAAAGTCACTATCAGGTAGGTGAGAAGGAGGTTGTGGACCTGCTGTCCGACCCAAGCAACCGCAGCAAGAGAAACGATCATGGTCATGAAGTACATTTTAGGCTTTTCTTCCTTTAGTGTAAAGAGGCGTTTCCACCAGCCCACAGCTCTGCGTCGAGTTTTTACTAGATTGCTGCAAATTTCATGGAATCTTTGTTGTTGCTCAGTGGTCCTAGAAAAAGAATTTTCCTCTTTACTATAGACAAATCTAAATATTAAACAGAAGTATACCATCCTCTCAAATTTCAGAAGCTACTTTCCAAAGAAAATCTAAATAAGAAAACAATTCACCATTATCTTATTTAAAAAAAAAAAAAAAGAGCTCTTGAACCATTAAGACTCTTTGGGGAATTCCTTTTGGTCCAGTGGTTGGGACTCCAAGCTCTCACTTCTGAGGGCACAGGTGCAATCCCTGGCCAGAGAACTGAAATCCCACAGCTGTGCCGCATGGCCAAAAAGCAAACAAAAGACAGAAACAAACAAAAAACCTTACAACTTCCTGTATCATTTGGCAGACCCCAGTGACTCCTGAGTGGTGGCCACCAGAGTCCCACTACTTTGAGGAGGATGTGACATTTCTACCACAGTTAATAACTACTGGCATTCAAAGCACAATACCCTCAACTGGGCTTCATACATTTGATGCCGAGGCAGCCACAAACAGTTCAAATCCAATCACAAATCACAAAACAGCAATAAGAATACAAAAAGATCCTCCGAAAAGTCCATTTTCATTTATAATGTATTCTGGGTTCTGACTTTTTTTTAATTTTGTCTTTGTGCTGTCTTTGTTACACAGAAATAATGGCTGATATAAAAAGTAAGCCCTACGCTGGGGTGTGTTGCTTGCTCCCTGCAGTCTCCTTGTCCTTGTCCATCTGCAGTTGGACAGCGGAAGGCCTTCTGCAGAGCCCTGGAACTTCTAAGCAGACATTCACATGCTGCCCATGGTCAAGGCCAGACTGTGACCATGCAACAGTGTTCTTCCTTCCTCAGAAAGGTCAAAAAACAAAACTGTGCCAGTGGTAACAAACCAGCTACCAAGAAACCTCATGTGTTTACTTCTGAAATTTTTTCTCCAGGACTTAAGAATTAGCAGATTAGAATGTTATCTGGCTAATAAAATCAGGGTATGAGGTTGAGTCTGTTAACTGTTACACTGCATAGTCACAAACTTGCCCCCAGGGACTTCCTCGGTGGTCCAGTGGTTAAGACTCTGAGTTCCCAAATGCAAGGGGCCCAGGTTTGATCCCTGATCAGCAAACTAGATCCCACATGCCACAACGAAGAGGGGGCACAGCCAAATAAATTAAAAATAAACTTTAGGGACTGGGATGGGGAATACATGTAAATCCATGGCTAATTCATTTCAATGTATAACAAAAACTACTGTAATGATGTAAAGTAATTAGCCTCCAACTAATAAAAATAAATGGAAAAAAAATAAAAATAAATAAATTTCCCCCAGCCGGAGGCAAAAAAAAAAAAAAAACTTTAAAAATTAATTTAAAAAAAATACTTGGCTCCCAAACCACAGCATAATTCATTACTGCACGTGAAAAACAATTCAGAGGACATTTCCTAACACTAACCATTCTGATATGCTAGAACATGTTTATACAAACAAACATGCTTACTTATCCCATAATTTAAGCAATTCCTACATTTAAAATTATTTTTATAATTTGTTATTATCAGGAGAACAAAAAACTATAGGCACAAGTAGACTACTAATCAAATTAAAATAAACAACCAAGGGAGAAAAACATTTAGGAGAAAAAAAAAATCCCATTCCTCTATCTAGTTTTGTTCACTATTTGGATCAAAAGTGATAAACCCAACATTCCAGAGAAAAGTTAAGCAATACTTTAATAGGATCCAAAGCCACTTAACCTTATCTTGGGAACCCATAAGTAACTTGTTCAAAGAATGGTATAAATGAAATAAACAACCCACTTCTGTATAAGCTTGAATCTATTCTTAAGCACTTTTGCTAACCACTACTGCACTGCCTCAATGTCTTAGCCTGAAACACAAGATCAATCTTAAAAATCAAAATACTTCACAGTACCCAGAAGAGTGCACTAACATAAAAGCAGACATTCAATAAACAGTTGCTAAATGAACAGATAAAAAAAAAAGCTATGTTTACTATTTTCAGTTATTCATAAGTTATTTATGAAATTAGTATTATTCTAAATATCAATGGTAAAAAATGTAAAGTAGACATACTACTTTTACGGAAAGCTCATTATGAGTTCTGCAATCACTGAAAAATCATTACCGAAAAAAGCCTCACTTCAATAAAAAGGTCTAGACAGAAAAAAATCAAAATAAATGCTAGAGTATAAAAGAACTATGGAGATATAAGTACTGGAAATTCATGATTTATATGTGAATCAGCTAAGAAATTCTTTATATCAAACAATAAGTCTAATCCCTAGCTATCTGTTAATTAAGGCAGTTCTCTGTGTGTAATTACAGCACCCTAGTCACAGTTATCAGGTTCGTAACTTCTCTGAAATTTGAATGCCACATCATTAGGCCACCTACCATTTATTGGAGCCAAAAATTCTAGGTGCTAGAATGGGAACAAGGTAGTCAGCCAAGCACAAAAACATAACAAAACAGGAAACACCAGATAGAACAGATGGATCTAGATAGTAGATAGTCCTGTTTAAAAAAAAAAAAGTAACAAAGGTTAGAAAAATACAGTCTTTATTAGTGCCAGCTGAAGATATTTATTCACTTCGTCCTCTGGTTCTCGAAAGATGTTATCTGCCCTTCCTATTCTCATTTTCTCACAAGTGGTTTTCCGGAAGTTTGATGACATGATGACATCCCAGTCATAATGGTTAATGTAAACATCAAGAGGCAAAAGGCCTTTGGGGTCCTCAACACCTTCTAGGAGTGTAAATGGTCCTAAGTTTGAACGACAGATTTATTTCACTGCACCGGTTACTCAGTTTACATGGTACTATGGATTCTGAAAACCAGGCAGATGGCTCTAAGGGAAGGCATTTTTTACAGATATAAAAATTACAAGACTTCAGGCACTTCCATAAATGAAACCTGAACCATTATTAGTAACAAGCATAAATCTATTGTAATTTAATAGCTCACTTACAGAAACACCAAAGAAACCACACCCATGATGGCAGGTGGAAACCAGGCTCTTTCCCATCGGAGGACTTTATCTGCCATCAGCATCACTTCTCCCCATCCTTGCAGCTGCTCTTCCAGACTTGCAGTCTCTGCAGCCTACATATGATCAACGTTTAAAGCAATCATTTTACTAATCCCAACATTTCTGTGACTCTTAGAGATACCAAAGTCAAATCAATGGGGGTAGAATTATCACGTAACAGTCACTTTCCAAGCCCAAGTACCAGGGTTATATAACATTATCCTTATAAGACCCCTTAAGATAGGGGTAATCAGACCCATTCACAATTAAAGTGAGTTCCGAATGGTTATTTTCCCAAAGTCATGCACTGCTAAGTGGCACTGCCCCAAGTATAAAATAAGATCACTTGAAGTTTGCTCATTTCACGTTGTTACAATCGATCTGTTGTTTTGTCATTTCATTGATTTAACCCCCTACTTCTGAGTCCATGAGGAAAGCCTCTCCCTGGACAGCTTTCGATTTCCAAAATAGCTCTTTGTGTACTGGAATCATCTATATATTGGCATCACTTGCACAACTAAGGAAAACTACTGTGCTTTCACTTAACTATAAAAGACTTTTCAATATTAAGCCCAATATATCTCAATAAAATGCTCCTACACTTAGGATGCTTTGGTTAGACGTCAAATTTCTCTGCAAATCTGACAATCAGCTGTAAGTAGCCTTCTCAGATGAGCTAATGTGGCAAAAAACCTGAAAGTTGATTTTGTTTTTGTTGTTTGGTTTTTTTCTTGCATGTAAGCGAAGTTTTGGTCGAGTGGGGAAAGAAAAAAAACTGGAAGAAATCCACGTTTCCTTAAAAAAAGTACGTTACAGAAACTCTGTTAAATATTTTATATACTTACACTTCAATGGTTCCTACCAACAAGCTGAAAGGAAGGTGTTCTTAACTATTCTCATTCTACAGATGAGGAAACTGAGAGACACAGAAGTTTACAGATCTGAATTCAGCAAAGCCAAGACCAAAGGTCTTGTTCTGCTCAAATTAAGTCACACTGTCCTGTGCAAAGAGCAGACCAGCTCGAGGCCAAGACCAGTTGTTTCAATAGCCATTCGATCTTGGGGGTGCGTGCGTGCGTGCGTGCGTGCGTGCGTGTGTGTGTGTGTGTGTGTTGGGGCTAACTAGGCTAACCATAGAAAAGGGGCCAAGACCAGTTGTTTCAATAGCCATTCGATCTTGGGGGTGCGTGCGTGCGTGTGTGCGTGCGTGTGCGTGTGTGTGTGTTGGGGCTAACTAGGCTAACCATAGAAAAGGGGCAGAGGTCATGCATATTTAAAAGTCAACACAAAACGAAAATCACCACAATCAAAACTGCTCAACAAAATCACTTGATTCGCTAGAACCTGGGCTCTTGGACAATCAAACGCCAAAATTCTGTTTCTCTATTCACTGTGATGATGGTGTGTGGCTTGTCTTTTCCTGGGGAAAGGCCAAGGGGAAGATGGATAGATTTTTCTCGCTTTTGCCTAGATCCTGCGGTGAGATTCAGGCTAGGGTTAGAATTGTCTGCCTTTGATACAAGCTCACTGCAATTCCCTTCGACCCCCGCTTACTCTAAAATCGTCCTGTGACACCCCCTCCCAGCCTTCCAGACAAACCTCCAGACAAACGCCAGGAACCTCCCATTGTCCTTCCAGCTGGATCCCACCTCCAGTTTCCAGTCGTGAGCTCGAAGCCTCCCTGCCGCTTTAAGTTGTGCCAGGCTCTAACAGAAACGCTCGGGAAGAGCCCTTTGACCCTCCACTCCTACCCAAGCGTTAGGGTAAAGGGCGAAGGGACATTCTGGTTAAGATCAAGGAGGGGGAGACACAGATACGGCTGGAGTCTGGGCCCCAAAGGCGCTCGACAGGACCCTCTCAGCCCTCTGCCACTGACTGCAACCCAGACTGGTCACAGCTCCCTTCTCCAGCTTCCTCCTCAACCTCCACTGCAGTGAATGATCACGCGCCCTCTTCGCTCCATCGCGCACCTTCCCCAAGGGGGTGTTAGGAGTCGCCACGACTCGTCACTGCCAAGCAGAGCTTAACCAAGAAGCCGAAAGGGCAAGCGTCGTCGCCTACACCTGGGAAGGGACAGGAGGGCCGGGCCCGCGGCGGGTGACAACAACAAGGCCGCAGCGCAGTCCCACGGAGCACACCAAAGTCCGAAGGCTCCGCTCGGTCCTCTGGCGACTAGGCGCTGGGACTCACCAGCAGATTGGTGCTGCGATTATCTCCTTCCGCCATAGTTCTCGAGGTGCCGTCTCAGCGAGCACAGGACGCCACCAATCTACTCCACCGCAGATTCCCTCGCCGCACCCCTAGCGCGAGGATACGCCCCGTAGCCTGCTTATATAGGCCGGCGGCCTTTCCCGACAGACCCTGCGAAGCTCGTTTCTCATTGGGCAAATCGAGATCAAGCTTGAGCAGGCCGGACCAACCGCTGCCCAGCGCATGACTTGAAACCGAGGTCAAAGAGTGAGACCACGCCGGGGCCCCGGGGGCGGGGCCATGTGATGGCCAATCAGCGCCCAGTAGGTGGGCGACGCCCCGCCCAGGCCTCGCAGAAGCGGTTCAACGGCCGCTGCCTGGGGCCTGGTCTGGCTTCAGTATTCCCAAGGCGGGCCGCCAGATGGCTCTCGGACGGTCTTCCAGGGGACTTCAGAGCAGCTAAGCACCCTCTCTGGAATCGAGTCCCTAAGGAAATATGCCACGCAGTATCAGGCGGAGGGCAGAGATGGGCATGTGACAGTAACCTCCTTAAGGGGGCGGGCTGGGATCTTCTACCAGATCCAGCGGGTGGCCCTGGGCCTGGCTGTGCACCTAGTTGGACCCGCATTTCTTCTAATCCCTTCTCTGGCAGCCCTCATCAGGCTTCTGAGCAGTTTAGCCTAGATATGTGACTCGGAGACTCGTGCCCATCTCATGAGCTTCGAGGACAAGGGAAAGGGGCATAAATTGTAGATTTTCTGCAGTTTTTCCTTCCTACTCATTAGGAATAAGGCCTTAGATGGAGGGGCGGGGGTGGGCGGCAGAGAGGGTGTGGACATCTGGGCATAGTTTGAGAGCTTGTGAAAAATGCACCACTTTATAAAACTGGTTTATTTTCATGGGTTCTTTGGGGAAGTTCTTGGTAGAACACTTCACTTGAAACTGCATGGTCTCCCTCCAAAAAGGGGCTGGTTTGACAGATCCTTTCATATAAGGAAAGATGTAAACCATCTTATCAGTGGAATTCATTGCAGTTTAAGAACCAGATGATCGACGTGAGACACATTTTCTCTCCAGGATTTCAAAATGCATTAACCTTTTCATTACTCAACACAAACAAAATAATGCCAAATGTTGACCTGGTCAGATGTCTCTTTCAGAAAAACATGCCACAGCTTTCAACTTCCAGTCTTTCATCCTTTTATAGTCATCTATATTATGCCATCAAGTTTATTTTAAAAACGTTCCTTAAATAACTACCAGGTTCATAAAGAGTTCAGGGAAGGCATAAAGAAATGTGAGCCAACACAGCTACAGACCACATGCTGCCCCTAAGAAAACTAGGGGGACAGAGGCATTGTGAATATCATGAAAAAGTATGAAATTTGCCATTGAACTTAAAAAAAAAAATAAGCATCTGATCAGGTATAAACCCTGCAGGGCAGGGCAGGGTGGGGGGCTTTGTAAGGGAAGGAGACTTTTCAATCAAGTGCCTCTTTTGGAAACGTTGGGGGGAAAAAAAAAGAGTTTATGTAGGGAAAATGCAGCCAATTGGTATACCCCATTTTGGGAGACTTTTACAAAGTGTGAGGAGCAGGCCCTCCTCTACCTATTCAAAAGAGAAAATGTCCCAATCAGCAGCCACATAGTGAATATAGAGAGCACTGTGTGCAAAATCTTGCTACAGGCACAGTAATATCCTCTTCCAAAGGAGAGGTGTGGGGTTATTAGACTTTAAAACCTGCCTTTTGTACTTTGGGAAATCAGTTTTTGTTACAGAATGTGCCTGGTTTTAACCCAAGTTCTCTATGTACAACTTCAGAAGAAAGACTTCAACATCAGCTTGTAAAATTGAAGGTGAAAAAAACTAAAGAAACTGATTTAAAACAGCACAGTTCTCCTTGTTACTCAAGGAACACGTTCCCAGACTTATTTACAACTTAACAGCCTAAGGCACTGAAATAAGGTCCTTAACTAAATTTCCAATTGCCCTAATTACTAAAAATCCCAGCCAGCACTTGGTGTAGCTTCCTTTGGAGTTTTGGGTTGGTTGGGTTTTTTGGGTTTTTTTTTTTTGGGGGGGGGGGGGGGGAGGGCTNTTTTTTTTTGGGGGGGGGGGGGGGCGGTACTACAAAGGCAGGATGTGAGCTTTTGAAATGTATCAGATGACTGAACAGATTCTCCTACAGAATCTGGCAGCAACAAATGCAATCTGATTTCCAGATATTCAGACAAGCTGGATATTGTTTTCCTTCAGAGCTTTTTACACACCACACACCAGGGAATATATGTCAATAATAATCTACAGAAGTTTTTAAAGGTATACAAAATGAAGCTTAATAAATTGTGCCTTAATACTAAGAACTTTGAAGTAAAATTTCCACTTCTATTCAAAAATATTAGAACATGTAAAATACATTTTCTTAGAATCAACTTTTTAAACTTTTGGAGGTATTAATGCTTTAAAAAAGCTAGCCATACTCCAAAATTAAGTTTTCTGGAAACTACTTCAACAAATTCAGAGCTTAAATGCTATGTCTTTTAAGACTTTATTTTCTGAAAAACAGGTATTTCATACAATCTTTGCCATGTTAATGCAAATATGCACAAAGTAGGCCATGTACTTTTGTTTTTCAAAAGATGCATTATGAGCATTTTCAGGAAGCTGGTGTGATTTATTCAACTTTTAATCTTAAATACAATCACAAAATTATATCCATCAGGAGGCATTACAACCTTTTGTACAGAGAAGCCACTTTATTTATACAATGTTACTAGAACAAGGAAGATTCAGTTCAACTCAATTTGCTCTTATATAACAAGGGTAAAGTAAATTAACAAGTGAAGTGTGATGTTGCCATTGACATTACAGGTGGAAATACAAGGAAAATTTAAACCGGAAAAATAAAAGAACTTTAAACAGGAGCTGAAACTTGGACTGTCGAGGAAAAAAAAAAAAAGCCTGTTTTGAAAGACATACATTCTGCAAGTCTGCATTTCAGAACATTCAGTTAAGTTTATCATCTTCCAAAGTCAAGCTAATTTTATGACACTTTTACAACAACACAACAGCTTTTTCCCTAGTAAGCCCAAATTCCCATGGAAAGCAAGAGGCTAAATGGTTCATGTTGTACAACTAACCACTGAACCTATAAAGCTTCTCTCAATTGCAGTTCATTTGCCCTTTTGTAAAAAAGAGATGGTGATATTGTTACCCAGGCCTTAAAAAAAGCAGGAAAAGTGCAACAAACCCTTCCGGGTTCATAATACAGTGGATTTCCTTCCTCAGTGTTTGGAAAATTTATAATGCTAGTTTTTCCCCATAGGAGGAATCTTTCTAATATAACCCAAATAGTGAAAAAAAATCTGCCTTCTTTAAGCGATCCTTTTATTAACATAGTCTACCTCCTAGAGTTAAGAGGGGAAAAGTCCTAGCTCTAAATTACTGGCATTTTACAAGCTCAAGATACAGAATGGAAGGTCATTGGTTTTCATATATATCTGGTTTTATGTAAAACAAAGGTACTTCAATGTGCTAACAGAAAAACATTCACTGATTTTTGTTATATATATGAACAGAAGCTAACAGGCTAATTGTAGGCGCCTTCTTTAATATGAAAAGAACTGTGAGAAAAGAAGAACCAGCTCCTTTGCTTTTAGTACTGCCAAAACAAGTAAGCCCCAGAGTAATTACAAATATGTAGAGGAAAATAGGCCAGGAAGACTTCTCAATTCAAAGTACTGCCTATATCACAACAGATTTAAAAGGACCTAAGATTGCACATCAACTCTAATATTTGGCTGTACTTGCATTGCCCTGCTTGGAATTTTTTTAATGGCTCTTTCCTTAAATTTCACACATCAGAACAACAATTAAAAACAAAAACAATGCAGATAACACCAAACACTGGACATTAAAAACACTATATACGACACTTAGATAACAGAGGCAAGTGTTAAGGGCAGAAGTGATGGAAGTTTTTCTTTGTATTACAAACCCTCAACCCTGAACCTGGGGTTTGGGCTCTAAAAGAGCAATTTAGGGGAGCAGATCAAGAGCTTGATTATCAGTTCTCACACAGAAACCTCACGTATCTCAAACAACTCACAAGTGCCAGACACAAAAGAATCATCATCTAGCAAACTATGTGAAGAACTCATGACCAGAAATAATGAGATACTGCAAGACACAGCAAAGAAACAGAGTAAAAGAGAAATACTGACAGCCCATAGACTACTAAGCCTCCACAGCTTTATAGAAAAAGCAACTAAAATTCAGGCAATTCTAGAAAGTTAAAAGACAGCAAAACACTTATGATAAACTTCAATTTCCAAGGGTACATCAAATTGTAGAAGTTGTAAGTTATTCTGTACCCCCTGAATCTTAAGAAAGGGCGGGGGGAGAGCACTAGAGGGAGTGCAGAAGTCGGGGTCGGGAGGAAGAGGAAGGAGGAAGGTGGGAGAGAGGATGGGGGACAGGAGAAGGGAGGGAGGAAGCAGACCCCTGGTTTTCTACAGGTTATTTCTCTATTATCAAAAATGTATGACTTCATAACCATAGCACTCTGAACTTCACATTTTACAAGATAATTACCAAAATATAGACCTGTCTTCTGAATCTGCTGTATGACCAAAGCCTTTTACTGCTGATTAAATCTCCTGTCGAGTTCTTTTTAACAGTTCAAAATGACAAGGCTACTTGTCAAATGACTCCCCCAGAAGCAGCCGGAGTACAGACTGAGGTCTTGTTGTCCAGAATGCAGCAAAGAGCAAGCTTTGAAGTCATCAATCACGCATATTTGCCCTACAACCAAACATGTATATGTCACACTATTCTCTGAGGGATCATTTTAAAATAAAAGTGATGGATAATTCAGCAGAGGCACATGTTTTTTATGTAAAGCTGTTTTGTTTTCGCTAGGATAAGGTGCCAGGTACCTCTGAAGCCTGAAATTCACAGGCAATAAAATTCACC